CGCGGCGGCGAAGCCAGGAAACGCGTCCAGGAAAAAGGAAATCCGATTTCCGACCGAGCCGGGGAAGCTTTTAAATAGGAATAGAAAATCCCACAGGCTGGGGTAGGGAGGAGAGTGAGAGAGAGGGAGAGAGCTGCGGGGCAGGGGGAGAGGGAGAGGAGGCGGGTGGGGTGGAAGGATGGGTGGCAAGGATGGGAGCGGCGGGGAGGACGAGTGTCGGTGTTTGGGGAGCAGATGGCTGGGGAAAGGAGAGAGACATGGAGAGGTGGATGGAAGGAAGGAGAGATGAGTGGATGGATGGAAGGACAGAAGAGAGGATGGGTGGATGGATGGGTAGATGGAGGGAAGGATAAGAAGAAGGAGAGAAGGAAGGGCGAGAGGTGGAAGGATGGAAGGAAGGGCAGGTAATGAGTAAGACGGTGGAAGAATGGGCTGATGGAAGGGACAGAGGGTAGATGGAGGGGATGGCCGGTAGCGGGGACAGAAAGAGGGACGGAGGGACAGGTGGGTGGGGTGGAAGGATGGATGGAAGCACAGGGGAAGGGTCGGTGGGTGGAAGGATGTGTTGGAAGGACAGAAAGGTGGATGGAGGGATGGAAGGACAGGGGGACGGTGGGTGGATGAAGGATGGAAGGGAGGACGGGTGTGCAGGCGTGGAAGGCTGCGAGGGCAGCTGGAAGGAAGGAGGAAGGGATGGTTGGGGGTCTGGAAGGCAGGAAGGGAGGATGGACGGAGGGAGAGGGGAAGGCAGGGTGGGTGCTGGAGGGAGATGGGGCAGAGAAGAGCCCTGGGGCAGGGCGGGTGGGGGCCGGGGTGCTGTGCAGTGCACGGCACTGCAGCAGGGCAGCAGCCGGGGGGGGTTCGCCCGTACCTGGCAGGTACATGTTGAGCAGCAGTGGCACCGCTCCGGCGCCGTGTCTCATGGCAGCTGTGGGGGTGGCCCGCGGGCTGCATGTTTTAATATTCCTGCCCCTATTATTATTATTATTATTCCACTTTATCAGGGAGCAGCTGATGGCGAATAAATGGCAGCGGGACGGGCAGGGGACGG